GCTCTCTGTGTCCACTCAGACAGCTCAGGCTGCGGTGCAGAACTGGGATAAAGTAAAGACAAATTAGCCACGAATGATCTAACAATCACACGTCCAAACCTCAGGTTCAGCTTTTTCAAAATAGCTAGATGAACATTTTGATCCTACAACAGAACGTAGTTAGCATTCCTGAAATGAAGAAAGCAATCCTTACTCTTAGTAGTAAAGGCACATGCCAGATATTTGACACGTCGTGGATACTGAGTATATGTCCGGCCTGAAAGAAACAAAGAAAGGGAGAAAAAGTTTTTAGAAAGCTGGACAAGACAGTGAACATAAAAAGACGCACCGGAACGTGGCAAAATTGCGAAAGCTTTTCCCTTGTGCACTGCTCCAGTGGCTACAGAGAAACTTTTAAACCGTTTGAATAAAGCTGACCCATGCTAAGGCTGAAGTTTGTTACCTTCGCGCTTCTACACCCAAGTAAATCGGGCGTCAGTCCTAAAGCTCGAAGAGCCTGGACGCTATGCTGTGTCGGTTTGGTTTTCTGAAAGCGATCAAAATATTTTTCTTCAGCGATAGCTTTCAGAAGACAACATCGTTACCTGTTCTCCAACAACACCGAGGACAGGGATAAGACTGACGTGAACGAGGCAGAAATTCTCCTGTCCTGTTGAAACAGCAAAACGTAGAAACTGCGTAAAAAGCAATCCCGTCTTGCAGAAAGCCGACTTACCAACACGAAATTGGAACTGCCTTAACGCCTCAACAAATGGCGACGACTCGATGTCACCTGTACACGCGAGTCACAACACGAGAAATCATGAGAAAGGCCGAACTCACCAATTGTTCCCCCTAGCTCGATCACGCACACGTCCGCTGCACCTTCTTTCCCATCGACAGGCACAACCGCGACACGTTCGATCCACTCTTGGATCTCGACAGTTATATGCGGGACAACCTTGCAAAACAATCCATTGGCCACTTGAAAAGGAATGCAAACTTACAAAGTCACGCTCACCTGAACGGTCTTCCCAAGGTAATCGCCCCTCCTTTCGGCATCGATGACGGACTGCCAGACGCAGCCAAGTTTCGTGAAAAACCAAAAGCAATAGACTTTGATACCTGGTAGATTTTTCCAGTGGTGATGTTGTTGTTCTTCGTCAGAGTCACGTCCAAGAAGCGCTCGTAGTTCCCGAGGTCCAAATCCACCTGCATGTCACGAGGATTACATGGAAGGAGAGACCGAAATCTCATAGTGTGAAAGCAAGGACAACAAACGAACCTCTCCTCCATCGTCCAAAACGAAAACTTCCCCATGCTCGAACGGAGACATCGTCCCGGCATCGGTATTGAGATAAGGGTCTAGAAAGCATCGATGAGAAAGCCGCAATGAGATGAAACAACGATCCAAGAAGCGAGAATACGCACCGATTTTGATGGAAGTCACGCGCAGGCCGCAGGATTGGAGGACAACGCCAATGCTGCTGGCAGTGACGCCCTTGCCCAGGCCGCTGACAACACCGCCGGTGACGATCACGTATTTCATCCTCGCAGCCGCCCTCCAAAAACCCTGCTTTTCGGCTATAGAACCCTAAATCAAAGAATGCGGTCCCTCCTCCCGGCAAAACCCCCTCTTTCAAACAAATATCTCTCTCTTTCAATCCTTTTTCTTTATTTTTTTTCTGTTTTTATTTCTTTCCAAGCTTGCCTCTTCGAGAACATCGATTCCGAATCGTCTCTTGTTTTTTCTGTCCCGTGCGATCGTTTTGTTTTAGGTGTGTTGACTGGCGACGACTTATTCTAACCTCGTCAGATAGTATAATGAAAAGAGATTAGTATTAGGCTTTTAAGCCAGCCTTTGTTCATAGGCCTTGCGACGTTCTTGTCTTGGGCCCTTCGCTCCAAAATGGACCTCCTCCTTAGATTTTCTCTCCGTCTCAGCGCGCTCCAGCTGCTCTAGAATCCATGCCTCTCTTCTTCTTTTTTTCTCTCGGCGAGTTCGGCCGTCTCTGCCTCGATCATCGCTTCAAATGCTGCTCTAGAGACGAATTAAAGAACCTTCCTTCGAAAATAGTGTGACGATGGATCTCTCTCTGATCGCCTTCGTACAGTCTCCCGCATTGATCTCTCCTGATCCTGATCAGCACAAAATAAGTTTGATCGGTATTCTTTTCTCGTTTCCACCTTGCTCTTGTCCCTGCTCTTGCCAGGCAGGCTACGCTCGTCCTCAGAGACAGCTGCGAACTAAAAATCAAGATCACGCTTCCGGAAAAAAGCTATAGACCTTGATACCTGGTAGATGTTCGTCACGTCTAAGAAGCGCTCGTCCGGATGTCCAAATCCACCTGCACATCACGAGGAGGATAGAAACGAAAACAAAAATTTATTGGTGTAGAGAAACAAACGTAAATACATTTATATAGAAAACCACACAACACAAACATGTATAGAAACCATAGTAGTAAGGTGGACGCGGCTTATTTCTCGTTGCGCATGGATGGATTGTTTGCTAGATAGCGCAGTAGAGTTGACGATCCACTAGATAGCGCGGGAGCGGTAGACCTGCTGGGGCACGATCTCGAACTTTCGCGCTTGATCCTGACCATTCTGCCGGAGCACGTAGCAATGGCAAGTGCCTCCGGTACAAGCATCCTGCCATCCCGCATGTTGCATCATGAGCTTAATAATAGCGCCAATGTGGAAGCTCCAGCGGCTTGTAGAAGAGGCGATCAAGGTTGACGCGCTCATTCATCTCCCTCTGTGAGATGCAGTAGGCTGGAACAGCTCCACTTCCCATGGCACAGACATTCCTCTTCTCGATTTTGATGTCGTCTCCCAGTCCCACAATCGTCAGGATTTCCTCGCTGCTGATGATGACTCCACCGTGCTGTGCAAGGTATTGTCGACGAGCACGGCGTGGCTCGTCGGCGGAGTTGGAGGCCGCAAGCATCTTCTCCACCACCCTAACCTTGGCGACGTGGCCTCCAAAGACGGCCCAGAGCGTCCCGTTCGCGATCGGGATCGCCTTCGCCCTTTTGTCGTCGATCACTGGCGGGAGAAGATCTTCCCAGGACCTCACTCCAAGGAACTGCAGAAACCCGGCGATGCTTTCGATCTGGTTGAGCTCGGCCACAGCGGCAAGACCGGCTGCGAGACGCTGGAGCAGCGTGAAGGGAAGAAGGCCTTTCGAATTCGAGACCACGGTGGCGAACCATTTCTGGCCAAGGATGACGCTGGGATCGCTTCCAAGATAAACACCCCACAAGGGAGGCGAGCGAGTGGCGCGGCCATCGACAAACAGCATCGGTCCTCCGAGGAACCGGCGAGCCAAGATCGTGGTGCCCGTCGTCCGCAAAGCAACTCCTCCTCCAGCGCTCACCTCGCTCACGAATCCGCTGGCGCTGCCGTTGCCGTCGGCCGCGATCCCCCGATCACATCCTCCCTGCGCTGCGAGGAGAGGCGAAAGAGGGAAATCGAGGACGTGAGGAACGAACATGCGAGGCGCTGCGCAGCGCCGGTGCCGGATCGCTGTGGGGAAGGAGAGAACCGCCATGGAGAGATGAAAAGAAGGAAGATTTCTCGCGCTGGAGAGCAAGAGAGAAGACGAAAACCCTAGCTAGAGCTCGCTGGAGCGCAAGACGCAAAGATGTGGCCTAGGATTCATGAACCTGGAACTTCAAACGTGAGAATATTCGCTCATTCCTACGCCCGTTCTGTACCAACGACTATTTCGTACATATCCTGGATAGTTAGTTATGCCTTTTCTGACAAAATATTCTAAGAATATGTGTACCTAATTTAGGTCTATTAAACCTAATTTGACCATGACCGGGAATATACAAGACTTTGACGGTAGTCAACGTAGGCGATGGCTCACTTGAGCAGCCCCGGCGCCTTCGCTTCAGTGGATTCAATCCACAAGGATCTTGACACCTGCAGGGCGGCCATCCTGCGCCTCCGCCGCGTCAAGGGATTTGGAAAGTATAGGTTGGCGGACGACGAGCGCCTGCAGGCTTGGTTTCCCGCAACACAATCGCATCTGGAGCTTCAGGCCGATGCGGGCAGCCGCCTCGGCGTCTCCCGTCCCGTCTCCTACATCGGCGGCTTCCTGCTCCTGGAGATGGAGCGCGAGAACGAGATACGCCTGGCGCTGAAACCCATGGACAGTCAAGGATCCGGAAAGCTGGTCTCGTTGCTGCCACCACTTCACGCACCTCCCAGGCTCCAGCACGCGGCCACCAGTGCTGCTTACAGAATGCATGTCGATGCCACGTTCCCGTTCTGGCGTATCTCGGCCATGGAGAGGATCGATGCATTGTTCAGCATCAGCAGCAGTCTTCCATGGGTGGCAACCATCGACGGCCTCGCCGAGACGTGGGCTGTCCACGAGGGGATCCAGGCGGATATGGTTCCCAGGCACGTCCCCGGCTACGCAGGCCTGAGCCTGGATTCGTGCGCCTACTTCTCGAGGCGAACCGGCGACGACGAGGTCAGCCTCTTCATCTACGACATGATCAATTGTCCGAGATGGTCAGTGCTCACGGTTCCGGCTCCCGAACGCCACATGGAACAGGCCCAGCAGACAACATCGCACAAGTTCTTCTCGTACAAGGGGCGCCTGCTCTTGGCATGCGTTTCGTGCAGCTGCTTCTGGGCGTCGCCTTTGCTGGAGGTGTGGGAGTTCTGCCCCGTGAAGAGGCACTGGTACAGGAGGAGCACGCCGTTTGCGATGGCTGGATGCAAGGCCGCCCGTCGCCACCGGGGTCTTGCTAAAACCAGGAGCAGTCGAGTGAAGAGCTCGAGCGATGTCTTCCTTGAAAGGCATCCCGATGGTATCGAGTCGTATGGCATCGAGTCGTGGAGAGCCGTGCATGGCCGGAACGCCGCGGTCTTCAAGCTGGATGGCAACTTCCTCATTGCGTTTCCTCACAGGACTAGCGCGCGGCCCATACAGGACGCGAATTCTCGCGAGAGGGTGAGGGTGGACCGGGACTTTGTGGATCCGGACTCTTATATAAGACATGACAAAGCGGCTTTTCTTCCAGTGGCATACAACTTGGACACGGACGAATGGATCAAGATGGCTGGCTATGACAGTGATTTTGTCTATGAGCTCGTCTGTTAATCAAAGAAAATTCTCACTCTTCCTTGATACTACGTAATATGTCGCTTTGATCGATCGTCAAAGAGCCGGGAGATTGAGAGACGGTGGCAGCAGCATCGCGATGGAGAACGTAAACAGCGCGATGATGGAGATGGCCAGCCACGCCAGGAACTGGTGGAGTGGGAACGTCTGCCTCACAGCATACGACCAGATTGTGCCGCCAAAGGCCGGGCCGACGGCGCGGAAGAAGCTGCACAGGCTGTGGCTCAGCCCCATCACTGCTCCCATGTTCCCGGAGCTCGCCGAGTTGCTGATAAGGACCAAGACTCCGGTGAAAGTCGTGCACGCGATGGCGCTGCGAGCGGCCATTGCGACGGTGAGGAGCGTCCACTGCGCTGGCCGGGCGTGGGAGAGGAGCGATGCCGCCGGGAAGACGAGCCAGAGAGGGACCGAGGTGATCAGTCCCAGCAGGAAGCAGTTGAGAGGCCCGAGCTTCTGGGAGACGAGCGGATAGAGGAGGAGAGTGTAGAGGAAGAGGACGACTCCTCCCTCCCCGAGGATCAGTCCCAGGGAGGAGGAGCTCAGTCCCAGTCCTCCCACTCGCTCCGAGGCGGCTCCAAAGATCGGGAAGAGCTCATCTGGATAGAGAAGAACCTTGAGATAGAACAACTCGAGAAAGTTGACGAACCTGTTGTGATGAATATCAGCCCTGTTAGCGAGTAGCAGAAGGACGTCAAGAGCACGTTCCGGTCTCTTAGCAGTGGCACAGTTCTGTTTTTGTCGTCGCTGGTTCCGTCCGGGATCACGACGAACTTTGTGCTCTCCTCTTCGTCGCCGGATTCAGTCACCTTGATGCTCGGATCCGTGCCCATTTCGAGAACACACTGGTGGCAGTCTTCCTTGGGCTTTGAACCGTTCACCTGGACGTAAGGTACTCGGTTGGGCCTCGTCTCTCGCAAACTCAGGGAGGCAAAAACCGCAGCTGTCGAGAAGATAGCCGCAGCAACACAAGGGAGAAGGAAGGGGTAGCTTGTAAGGATACGAGGACAGCTCCGGATTCCATATTGTGAGCAAGGCTGAGCTAGGAGCCCGGATAAAACTGGGCCAGCGACCGAGCCAATTCCCCATGCCAAGTTCAATATGCCAAACCCCTTGGCTTTGTTCGACCTGTTGAGACGGAGCTGCGTGAGGACGCTGACTGTGACAACCAAAACTTTACTTACGTTACAACACGATGCTTACCCATCACAGATTTCTCCAAGAACCGATTTTGTAATGGTCATTGTACCGTTGAGGAGACCGCCAACAAATCTTACAATACAGGCAGACGTGTATCGCTGGCATAAACCCAGCAACAGTGCGGAAACTGCAGAGACAATGTTTCCAAACGCAAGCCATGGCTGGAAAACAAAATCGTCAGTACATGAAAACTTTCCAGTTGAAGCCAACCTTTCTCCCTGTAGAATCCGACACGGTACCCCACAATATGGAGGTGCAAAACTGTGCCAGTGGGAAAAGAGAGGCCTAAAAAGAAATGAGACATCAGACATATCTTTACATGAGGCAGCAGCTACCAGGATCCCAGCATATTGCCCGGCTGTGTGAGAGGAGCGACTACCGACGTGATAGTGCTCGACCATGAAAACCAGCTGCATAGAGCTCAAAGTAAGCACCGGAACCGTGTTTCAGTAAAAGCCTTACCATCGGGAACAACATGGTCGTCTGGAAAGCCTGACTTGCATGAATAATCCTAAAACCAAGAACAAGCACGAAAAGCAAGCTTCAGGAGCAGAACAGAACAGAAGATTTTCAGATGAAATTACCAGATCATGAAAAGCTCCCATCTGGAAGGAGACGGTTTAGCATCATGAACATCTTGACTAGAATCAAGAGGACAAACCTGGGAAGGGGTGTAGCCAGCTTGAAGCTAGACTTTTCGTTCGAGTGCTCAAGCTCCAAGTCCCCCATCGATCAAGCCTCAATGAAGCTGCTAGAAGAAGCAGGCGCCACCTCCAAAGCGGACGATCATCACTGGCAAACAGAAGGACGCCAGATGCGATGCATGCATGCAACCGGAGGCGGATGCTCTGGAGCAACCAAGCCAGCGCCAACCGCTTTGGGGAAGAAGACTGTTACTCTGTTTTGCAGTTTACCATCTGCATTCACATGCGTAAAAAAGGAGACGTCGCATCGGTTAGGTCAATACCTTTGCGGTCACTCACGGGACGCCGCCATGCATTTCCCACGCCTCAACAGGAAGACGTCAGCACACATACGTGAAAGTCTATTTACCGGGAGTTTTTTTTAAAGCGGGACACAGGCAACTCGCTCTTCTTCTAGGAGTGCCGCAGCGGTTCTACGTTCCATATTTCCTCTGCATACTCGCGGATGGTTCTGTCAGTGCTGAACTGTCCACAACCGGCGGTGCTTAGAATGCTCATCTCGGCCCACCGCTTCTTGTCGACAAATGCTTTGTCAACAGCAGCCTGCGCAGAAGCACCGAGTGTTTAAGGCACGAGAGTTGTCAAACAGAAGAGCGTACCTGAGCTTCCAAGTAAGATGGAAAATCATGGCCTAGCAAGTAATAGTCGTCCCCAGCTCCGTCAATGGTGTCACATAACGGTTGGAAGTACTCTGCATTGCCAAATACTCCTTTGCGAATCATGCTGAGCAGCAGCAAAATATCATGCTTAATTCGAATATAGAGAAAAGAAATAAGATACTGTACCCGACCACACGGCGAAACTCCAATACAGGTTGAAAATCTTTTTGCTCGGTTCGCAGCTCTGGGATATCCTCTGCGCTGGGACCAAAGAGGAACTAGCCAGAGTGCAAAGTTAAGAGCCATGCAAAATGATAAAACATTTTTAGAGTGACAAACCATATTTTCGCTTCCTAATTCTTCTTGAATTTCAACATTGGAGCCATCCTTGGTCCCTACAATGAGACAGCCGTTCATCGCAAACTTCATGTTTCCTGTGCCACATGCCTCACTCCCAGCAGTGCTGCCAGCCAAAGAAAATTGAACTGTCCGAGGCATTTCTCTAGAAAAAAAAAGCTTACCTGAGGTGCTGGGATATATCACTTGCAGGTATTACAAGTTCTGCCATTGAGACATTATAGTCTGGAATGAAAATCTGCGTGTGCCAAAAGTGATGATCGATCGAACTTTTGGATTTCATACTTACTAGCTTCAATAGGTCTCCCACATCGGGGTCATTATTTAGCTTGTCGCCAACAGCATGGATCAATTTTATTATCCTTTTCGCATTTTCATAGCCAGGGGGCGCTTTTCCTCCAAGTATGCAAACGCGAGGCACAACCTTTTTTCTGTCTTCTGCTGTCATATTCTACAGCATAAAAGAGTAAGAATGTGCAAAATGGTGAACTAAAAACAATGCACCTTAATGCAATCGTAGCGATGGATGATGCCGATAACATTCAAAAATTGCCTCTTGTACTCGTGAATGCGTTTGATTTGAACGTCAAACATTGCATCGACATTCACCTGCAGCCGAGATGAGAGTCAATGGAAAGTAAAGTATCACCCACCTTTGCACCGCTGATTATTTGTATATAGGCTGCTAGCCTTGACTTATTTGATCTTCTCACCTACAAACCATGAGATAAGCCTTTACGAGAGGAGCTACCAAAAGATACCTTCATCCACTGCTCTTGAAGATTATAATCATTAGCGTGGAGACGAAGGCCCAAGAGCAAGTCCAGCTCTTTAAGCCAAGCTTCTGTTCCTAGCCACTTAGTGATCAACTGACTTAGATCCGGATTGCTGCATGCCATCCATCTCCTCTGTTTTACAGTAAACGTCAACGGCAGGGCAAAACCAATGCGGAATTTACCTGGGTAACACCATTTGTTTTGCACTGAAATTTGTGTGGCCACATATCATGAAAGTCCTGATAACACTCCTCGTCATAGATAATTCGGAGATCCAAGGAATGTACCTTAAATAGTGACGATTTAATGAACTCGAAGTGGCTTTTTGACACTCCGTTCACGGTATGACAGCTTACAAGCGCCAAATTTGCCATACGCACATTCTGCAAGTGGAACACTTGATCAAAGTTTGTTGAAGACAGCGACGCTTACTTTCTTCTCGCCTTCCTCAATAATAGATAATCTAGACAGACGAACAAGATCATCGCCAAATTTTTTCTTCATTTCCTCCATAAAATAGAAATTGATGCGATAGATTATCTGCAACACGCACAATGAGAAAACTCAACAAAGATTCCAAAGAAAGACCTGCAAATGGCGTGGCAGAAGGTTCTCTAAAAGCTCTAAAGGCCACTTTTCCAATGCTTCGGGGAGGATTGCGTGATTTGTAAAAGAGAAAACTTTAGTGGTTATTTCCCATGACTTCACCCAATCTAGCTTCTCCTCATCCAAAAGTATCCTCATCAGTTCTGCCACGCCAATGATTGGATGTGTATCATTTAGCTGAAAGGCAACCTGACATTTGTACAATTTGTAAGTTAATCGTTCATTTTACCAAGATACTAACCTTTTGAGGAAAAGCCGCAAAATCGGAATGAAAATCTTTATATCTTCGTACTACATCTTGTAAAGAAGCTGATACCAGGAAAACTTGCTGTTTCAACCGGAGCTCTTTGCCCTGTAGCATGCGTTGAGTTTACGAAAGAAAAGCATAAAAAATACAACCTGATATGTCCTATCGTCTGGGTAAAGAATACTGCTGATCGTCTCAGCTCGCTGCTTACTAAGCACTGCATTCACATAGTCGCCAGTACTAAAAGAGTCCTGAAACGGCAAGAAATTAAAGATTAAAATGATAAAGTTAATATAGCCACCTACTAGTTCAAGTTCGCCACTTGGTTTTGCAGCCCAGAGCCGCAGATTTATGGTATTTTTTGTACCATAACCGGGGATTGGATTGTCGTAGGCAACAGCTTCAACCTGTTAATCTAGTTAGTCTCATCGGAGAGAAATCAATATCTGTTTACCGTTTCCCCAGGTGTCCAAATATATGTTTTCTTATTGTTCTCTTGTATTTCGTCCACATGACCATAGAACTGCCGGAATTCGTCAGATTAGAGCCTCCGCTAAGCAGCACTTCGACTAACCTTTACAGGATATGTTGTATGAACTCGCTGAATTTCCCATGGATTGCCAAAATTTAACCAGTAATCGGGATGCTCGAGTTGGAACCCATCCTGTATAGTCTGCCTAAACATACCATATTCATATCTTAAACCGTAACTGCCAGAAAAAACAGTACGCTGTTTCGCAGTTCTTGAAACTAATACGTGCTTACCCCCAAGCAGGATAGTCTAGAGTCGCAAGCGAGTCTAAAAAACAAGCAGCAAGCCGGCCGAGTCCACCATTTCCAAGAGCAGCATCTCTCTCCTGCAAAAGAAGAACAAAAGACAGAGAAAACCTGAGAAACTCTGTAAAACACACACACACTATATACCTGCTCGACCAAAATTTCTAAATCGAACCCGAGCTGTTTCAAAGCATCCGCATACTGTCCCTTGACCCCGATGTTGACGATACTGTTTAGCAACGAACGACCTGATTGCATGCAAAGGTTGAGTCATAACGCTCAAGAAGGCGACCTTGAAGAGAATGCTCACCCATGAGGAACTCCATTGAAAGATAATATATCCTTTTGGGGTCCTTTTCTCTCATAAGTGAATGCGTATCGTTCCATCTCTCGATCAGCCGGTCCCGCACGCTATAGGCAGTGGCCTACACATGGAGACACGCGTCAGTCACAAGGATAGGCACGAAAAATCGACAAAAACCAATATCACTTACCTGGTATGCTTCGAAGTCATCAAACCGGAATCGTGATCTCGCCAGAGTATACTCGGAGTGATCCACGATGTTTTTCTGGATGCTAAACGTGTCGTTCTTCAAGTACTGATCCATGAGCTTGTACATTCGCTCCACCTTGTGCCTAAACCCCGGATCCGAGCTAGGAGCGCCTGGAACGTACGACCTGACGATGAAATCCATGAGCGATGTTGCAAGGTTGCTCTTCTCCGCGGCATCCAGCTTCTTGTCCCTGGCATTCTTTACCAAAATCTTGAGCAACTGCACAGAAACCCCGTCGTCCATGGCATTCTCTTCCAGCTGGACCGTCGCCTCGGCAACCTTGAATCCCAGATTCTTCACAAGGGCCACTGCTCCTTGCAACACATCCAATCCCTTGTTCTTGACGCGAGCGGCGAGGAGGTAATCGCTCTCCCAGAAAACCGCCACTTCTCCGGCGGCATCCGACGCGATCGTCCCTACCTTGGAATCCAGAGCGGCAAATCTCCCACTGCCGCTCGCCGCAATCTGCGTCACCGATCGCTGCGCCGAGATATTTCCATGCCGGAGCGGTGGATTCTGCCATATCCGTGGATGATCCGGCGAGGCAATGCCAGCGCGCTTGCTCCCACAGCCGTGATGCCGCCATGGAAGAATCGCGGCGACGCTCGCCACCACCGCCATAGCCAGAGAGCTCCCTTTGCCACACTACCTAGACTACTCGACACACATGACACTGAGAAGCCACAAACTCCCCTAGCAAATATATGCCGCTCATGGCAATTGTACACGAACCATGTTTCTATCACAGCCATACGTTTTGAGGCCCGAGTCATTCTTATAGATGTTCATGAAGAGCTCCTCCTCGCCGGGATTTGGATCATCCTTGGCCTTGGCTGCGGCATCGTCAACTTCTTGCTTGATTTCCTTGTCCACTGCCTTGAATTCCTCCTCTCTCATCACATTCTCCTGTGAAAGACGAACAAACAAAGAGTGAGTGGAGATTTTCAGTGCTTGCGGGCTCAACTTACTTTGATCATAAGTTTCTTGATGCGCTCGATCGGGTCGCGCTCCTGACGAACTCCCTGTATCTCGTTTCGTGTCCTGTAAGTGCTGCCGGGATCCGACATGCTGTGGCCGTGGTATCTGTACGTGTCCGCCTCCAAAACAATGGGACCCTGGAGAGGAAGCACTAAAAGATCTCGAAGAAGAACCAAGAAGAAAAAAAAGAAAGCTCTACCTTTCCAGACAGGCAGTGCTCTTTGGCGAATCTCGTAGCTTCTTTTACAGCAAAAGCATCCATCCCGTCAACCTGCGATTCCAGTTCAGTGTTCAAGAACACAGAATCAAAGCTCCTCGGTACCTTTATCCCAGGAATGTAAGAAACACGGTCATAGAAGGTAGTCTTTTTCGAAGCTCGCCACTCGGCTGTTCCCATTCCATACTGCAAACCGGGGGAAAAGAAGAAACGCTAATGAAAAGTACGAGCTTCACTTACGTGATTGTTCTCGACGAGAAAGATAAGCGGCAAATCCCAGAGCCCGGCCATGTTCTTCGCTTCAAACAATTGTCCCTAAGCACACACTACGCTTTGAGACCAAGCAAAGAGGCAATGCTCACAAACCTGATTACCTGCACCATCACCGTAGATGGCCATCGCAACGTTGTTCTTCTTCTCGTACTTGTTTGCAAATGCCAAACCGGCACCGAGCGGTCCCGTGGTTCCCACAATCCCCCATCCTCCATAGAAATTATTGGAAGGCTTGTAGAGATGCATAGACCCTCCTTTCCCTCGAGCACACCCGGTGGATCTTCCCATGAGCTCGGCAAAACATTCCTGGAAGAAAAAAAAAAGAAATTTTCAGCTCCTTTCGTTGAAACCATCCTAAAACTGAGAAACTCACTTACGTGCACAGTTCCTCCTCGTCCGAGAAATGTAGCGTGATCTCTGTAAGCCGTGATCACGGTGTCCTCGTACGTCAAAGCTGCCTCCATCCCTATAGTGACCGCTTCTTGGCCATCGTAGAGATGGCAAAATCCCCGGACGAGCTGGGACTTGAAGAGCTGGCGCCGAAAAATCGATCAATCTTCTTCCCCTAGAGATACCGAAAAGAAAATCCCTATACCTTGTCCGCAGTGATCTCCATTCGCCGGATCCGAAACATATCCCGGTACATCTTGACCAGCTCCTCTCTGCTCGTGACGGACTCCCGCGCGGGGCCTTCCTGGAGGAGATGGAGCTGGAATGGCACCGGAATTTCGACATTGATCGCGTCTGGCGCTTGAGCGGCGGCTGCCTGGCGGGGCTGCGATGCAAAGAGGCGCCGGGCGAGCGATCCGACAGTGGATCTCGTCATGGATCACGGATAGAAGGGAAATGCGACACTGGACAATACCTTGTCACACCACGCCCGCAAAATCCATCGCCAGAAGCCCCTGACACGGGACTGCATAGCATGCTTGCCACGTAGTAGCCCCAAAGCCCTAGGAAAGTGTCTTGGAGGATATTCTCAGAGTTACAGGCTAAAGGTTATACATTTTTTAGGGTTCTAGCAGGAGAATATTCTTAGTATAAAGTTAAACGGCCTTTAATTTGGTGTAATGTCAAATGTTTTAGGGTTCAAGCATTTCTTCACTCGAGGATCACGAGCAGAACAAGCGACTAAAGAGGTGATCGTGACAAGCCTGTGCGGTGTCCAAGAGAGGCGAGACCTGGCAAGCGTCCTCCACACCCCTGTCCGCGCATTTCCTCACCACGGCCTCGCCAAATCCTCGCAAGCTCTGCTGCATCGCCGCGGCTTGCAGCGGCCCGACCAGATTCAACCGGGTTGCCGCCGATAGCACGTCCCTCAGCGTCAGGTAGAGGTAAGCTCGCTGGCAAGTGAGCGCGTCCAGCTTGAGCAGCCCACACACGATCCCAAACACGCCGGCGTGGTGGCCGGAAGCTCGCCCCGCTCGGACCACCCCTCGCAGCTCTCCCAGCTCCGCAAGATCGGGGTACACTGTAGCCGCGGTCCTCAACAGCGCGGATCCCTGGCTCGACGACGCTCGTCTCGCGACGTGGTTGCTCAGCGTCGCGTTGAGCAGCCGGTCCAGCTCGATCCATCCGGCCACGTCCGGTAGCTTGAAGCTCGCTGAGACGAACGGCAGCAGCAGCGATCCCGAGTTCTCGAGCGTTGACTTGATGAAAGTGTCGAGGGACTTGGAGTCGCTAACGAGTCCCGCCTGGACTGCTGCCTCGAGACCGTAAGAATGCGCGAAGCCGCCGGTTGGAAAGAACGAGTCGACCAATTGCCATACTACCCAGTCGGACCCCTGTGACTTCTTCGCTGGGAGATCCATACGAAAAGCTAGACCCTGCAAGAGTAGCGCCCTAGCTAAGTTAGCAGCAGCATGAATGAAATTGAAAAAACTCTCACCGTGCACTGCGTCACCGAGGGTCTTGACAGCTTCATCGATTCGCTCACACCATGAGAGCCTACGACTCAAATGTGTATAAAAAAGAATTAGAACATATCAAAACTTGCAAGTCCCTGTGCACGTAATCAGTAAGATCTGGAACCGAAAAAATCAACAACCTTGGCCGTTGGTTGTATGACCCGTTGGGGCCGCTCGCCTTTGCTTGCTGCCTGCTGCTGCTGCTGCTGCTGCTTCGCCAAGCTTTTCCTTGGAGACGCTTTGAGCTTTACTAGCTGTCTCAGGATTTGATGTCTTTTAGTAATTACCACCTTGGAGGAATTACCTGAAGCTGATGCCGGGGAGAGCTTGCCCACAAACTGCCTGGTTAGACGGGAGGCCGATACTTGCAGGTTGGGTTTGCTAGCCTTCTCAATTAGTCTCTTCGCCTTGTTCACCTTACTAGTGACGTTGCTATGGTTCTTGGCATCGGCGTTTCTCTTTTGCCTCTTTGCCTTGCGGTTCTCGTCCCTCTTTCTTTGCGCTTCACTTTCCTCGAGAATAACGTCTATGAGTTTCCTCATTTTGTGGTTGGGTGATGGGCCGGTTTCACCATTGTCTGCATTGTTTTCAAGGTCAGGCCCGGGACTTGCTGCTTCCTGCCACCGGTTATGCAGATTGTTATAACGAATCTACTACGCACGCATTCACCTTTTCCATTTGATCTTTCCGCAGGATCCACCTGTTCCCTTGCCACAGTAACGAAGGCCTTACATCGCAGGACTTCACACTGTCCAGGGCACCTTCACCTGTAACATTGACAAATTTACGTTTGACCAGGAACTCCGAGACTTACTTGAATAGAAGACGATCAATTCGTCGTCGCCAGCCCAAACAACAAGCCCTTCTCTCCAACTGGGCATAGTAGCGCGTTAGTTTGTCTGCATCGGGAAATAGAATTTCATACTCACGCATGCCCATCTCGAACATCTATGCGGTCCCCAGCAGTCCAAACTTTAGGTGCCTCGTCATGAGTCTCATTCAGATCGAAAGTAGGATATGGACACCGGAGTCTCGGATGTTCAAAAGATGTCGAGCGGCTAGGCTCAATGTGTAGCCATTCCGTAACATGATTCTTACCTGCAACGTTTTTCACTCAGTTACAAGGTAACAAAATATTGAGCTAAACTTACTATCATCTACAAGCTCGTGGTACGCAACGAGTACCATTCCGTCTTTAACAGTTATAATCTTAGCAGTCAGCCATCCTTCAGGATGACCTGACTTGACCTGAAAGTGGAATGTGAGATTGTAGAAGAAAGGAAGACCGACGAAAAAACAAACCTCTACATTCACCCCTTCGGTCAGCATAGATGAATCCACCTGAGTAGCTAGTTGATTCTGCCGGTTCATTGTCCGAAATTCCGAACTGCCGATTGCGAGAGCAATCTGGGCTTGTGAAACGGCCTTCAAAACCACACACGAAATTTCTTCGTAGTCCAACGGGTTAGAGTCCGGTTGCTGCTGGTATCTGTCCCCTGCTGGATGACCAGTTGCAGCCTGGGATGCGGCTTCATAGGCCAGAGCCGCGGCCGCAGCAGCTGCCTTGGCAGCCGACACTGCTGCTTCGAAGGCAACAGTGACAGAAGCCAGTAGACCCTGACCGTCATCCTGCTTTTGAAAGAGCGGACGAAGTGTCTTTCTGTGTTCTAAAATCGATGTCACCATGGACTGCGCATTCTCGAGTTCCTGTCTGACTTGACCAATATCCAGTTCCTCTGCATCGTCGTCTTGGTGAGAATCAGACAGCCTCGACTTTTTCCTTTTCCTTGCACCTTGTAAACCATCTTCTTCCTCAGTCTGGAATGCTGCCGGGTGCAATGCCGTAAGTGAGGATCGCGTGGCTGTCGGCATGCTCTCCACAAGCCGGGGCGTGGTGCTTTGAGCATTGCCTTCCGCATCAGGATCTGTGGCAGCATCACCATCTTGAGCCGCAGTTTCCTCCCGAGCTTTTATCGAGGCAGTATGCCAAACCTTCTCCCATATATGTCGTCCCTCGTTCCACGAATCTTGTTCCAATCCTGTGATAGTGAAGTCAAACTCAAACACCTAACAAAAAGAATCTGCAACATACCCGTTGATGTATCTGAAAAAGCTCCGACCATCAATGGTTCCTCTGGAACAGTTCCTTGCCTGGAGAGAACATTCTTAGCTACTCTCTCGCAAAGAAAAAATAAAACTTTCTCAAACTTACAAGAGGCGACCGAACACCAAAATCTGCGCCCGTAGCTGGACTTGTTGGAGCTCATTCATCACAGATTCACTCGAGACCGCCATTGCGTGGGCAAAGAACTCAAACGTCGACAAGGCGCTTGTCAAAGATTCTCTGAGTCACATACCCGAATTTCTCACTCCATTCGCCCGTAATTCGACCTCTCGGCGCCTCCATCCATCGTCTTCCGGGGAAATCTTTGCCCGCAGCACCAGCCGGCGCCCGCCGACGCTCCCGCGCGGCGGCAATCACCCTGCATTCCCTAGAAACCCTAGCGCGAAGAGCCAAACCCCTGGAGTGACAGTGAAAGAAGAAAAAAGTGAAATTATAAACGTTTGCTGCCAGCCGTTGGATTCACAACAGCCGGGCCGTTCAATCTGGCGCATTGGATATCACTGTCGGACGGCGGACATTTGAAACAGAAAAACGTTAGCGAGGGAAAAAAAATAGTCCGTCCTCTCCTCGGCTTTATTCGAAGATTAATCTTTGGCTTTGTACGAGATTGGCGTACATTCCTCCACTTCTGGCCTGGAGCTCTGCGTGTTTGCCGAGCTCAACTATGGAGCCATTGGAGCACACGGCGATTTGATCGGCCGCTTGGACTGTGCTGAGCCTGTGAGCGATCACAAGAGTAGTTCTTCCCTGTGTCATAGATCAAGAAAAAAACACCTTGAGAAGCGATAAAAGCATAGCTTTTGTTACCTTCATCAATCGGTTTAGAGCATCCTGAACCAGCTTTTCACTGACGCTGTCTAAAGCACTCGTAGCCTGCAAGAAAGGAGAAAAGGGGGTCATGCTTGATGATCACTTAAGCTAACCTCGTCGAGAATCAAAAGGGGAGAGTTTTTAAGCAAGGCTCTTGCAATCGCTATCCGCTGTGTGAGGTATCACCTCGAAGAGTTTAATAAAAATACCGCGAGGAGTTACCTGTCTCTGACCACCGCTTAATAGGCTTCCCCGTTCACCAACAAGAGTTTCATAGCCCTGCGAATGTAAACTGTGATAACGAGAGAGTAGAGAGACTTGATCACTTTTACCTGTGGCAGCTTTACGATGAATTCGTGTGCGTTCGCAGCTTTTGCTGCTGCAACAATCTGCTCCTCTGGTACATCGTCGTTTGGCAAGCCATAAGCAACGTTCTCAGCTACAGAAACCGCAAACAAAACAGGCTCCTGAAAAAGCAACGAAGAATCCCAGCGTCAGTTTCCTGTCACGCAAATATAAAGACAAAATGGCACCAACCTGATTCACGATCGATACGGCGCTCGCCCACTCCGTTTTGTCGAACAAGCGAACATCTTTTTGAGCGAGCGTTATTCTCCCTTTACTTGGCTGTCAGAAGATGGATGCGAACAATCAGATGCACGCAAGAACATCATTGAGTACTGGCCTCATAAAACCGAGCAAGTAGCTGCACAATGGTGCTTTTCCCCGCACCACTGGATCCCACAAGAGCTGTTACTGTCCCCTGCTTCAATCGTAAAGATATTCCTCTCAAGACTGCGACGTCAGGTCGCATTGGGTATGAAAAGTGAACATCTGCATCACCAATTCTTTCAGCTTATACTAAAAGAAAAGCTCATGAGAGAAAGGTACCTTCCAAGACGACATCTCCAGACCAGGCAAGCTTACAAACACCTTCTGAAGGCCTCTTTAAATCCCCCAAGCCCCTAGCAAGTAAGTCGTCGGCGCCTGATTTCGAAACGACCGAGTTGACGTGATCAACGGAAGCTAGCATGTTTCTCATGTCCGCAAGAGTATTCACGAGACCTTGAACCTGACAGTACAAAGCAGTCGCTATATGCTCAAAGAAGGTTGATCAAGGGAACTTACAGCAAAAGTTAACGTGAACGTGTACCCAATGAATGACACCATCTTCCCGACAGCGAGGTCGCCCTGAGACAACAGCTGACTTCAATGAAAATAATATTCTCATCAGTCAGCTCACTGATTGAACTTTCATTCCACCAAGAATGTAGAGCGTCATTAGTGAAATGTAGATGGCAATGCGTGTCCACGACTCGTTCGCAGATTTAAGCCACCCCAGCCTGTTTCCACTTTCTTTATACGCCAGCACCTAAAAGAACCAGGATAAGCATCCATTGCACGAGATGAGAAAATCTAGATCTTGCCTGCCTTTCGAACAAGGACATTTGTCTCCGTTCGCCTCCAAAAGATCTCACCTACATCCTGTAATCAGCCTTCTAGGAGAAAAAAAAAAATCATTGGGTCCTAGCACTTACAGTTCGTATAGCAGAAAATGTTTCATTCCCGGTATTCATTATACGGCTTTGGGCTTCGCCATGCGCCTTAAAAACAGGTAAAGTAGTCCGCTTGTAGACAGCTGAGATAAACGCATTAACACACACTCAGGAACAATCCACTTACGTACCCACAGATACTGATATCGAAAGCATGAGCAGTCCGAGAATCGGTGCTAGCTCTCGAGAAAGAAAGAACAATATCACAAGTGTTCCTAGCGTCTGCATCCAGAAGAAATGCATGACAAGTTTTACAAACACAAATGTAAGACATGCTTGCCTCTGACAGCGCTCGAAAGCCACGATCCCTGGAAATGTTTTCGTTGATTATGTCCTTGATCGAACCAAGGTCCGTGGAAAGTAAAGAGGTAAGCTCTCCAACCTACTGCAAACGTAGAATTTACGTCTAGAACACATCTCAAAGCTTCCGTAGAATACCTTATGCCGATCATAGAACTCAATCTGATTAAGGAACCATCAATCACCACGAGGAAAAGTAAGAAAAAACTAGCTTTTCATTACCCGTTGCACGAGAAGCCGTCGAAAGAGCTGCGAGCGAAGTTTTGCCATGACGTTCTCCCAGGCAGCGATCATATTAGTCACGAATACCACGGTTAAAACGGGCTCGAGCACGTAGACGAGAGCCAGCATTCGCAAAACTTTCCAGAGAGGTTGCGATCGCCTCCCAATGAGTGTCTCAAAAAACGCTCCTAGAGAAGAAAACTATGTGAGCCTTAGCTAGAACAAAGAAGAAAACGAGCTCTTCCACCAAAACAAAGAACTTACCAGAGAAGATGGGCATGGTGAGAGTACACGACGAGCATCCTAGCAGCGCGACGAACGAGACGAATAGCCGGAGCCTCTCCTTCCACAAGAGCCCAGCGACGAGATTCGCAGTAATCACCGGCTGCCCGCCCGCTGGAACCACGTCCAAATCCTCATCGCTGCCGCGGATGAATCTCGCGGCGACCGCATCCTTCCGCGAAATCGAGCAGGAAATCCTTGACCGGGAGTGAGCCGCCGAGCAAAGGATTCGTGGAGCACACGAAATCCAGGGGGAGGAAGGAGAAATTCTACTGCTAGATCGTCGAGGCAGCGATGCTGCCAGCAAAGGAGCCCCAGCCGCGAGGGAGGAGTAAGCCATAGCTATCTAAAACCCTAAGATCGTGGATGAATGCGGCCCTCCAAGAGCTTCATCGCGATCCCCACCTTCTTCCGCCGCTCGGCCTTTTCGAGCACCTTCCTCCAGCTCCGGAATTCCGGCTCGTAGCCCAGCATCATCTTCTTGAGCATCACTCCCATCTCGCGGTGGAAGAACATCGCGAGCGCGGGGTACTTCTGCGCGTCCTCGCCCGCCTTCCACACCCGCTTGAGCACGCGCAGGGGCAGCAGCAATCGAATCGCCATGATTCCGCGAAGAACCCTAGACTAGCAGGGTTTAGGGTTTATGGCGATGGCGGCAATGCGGCGAGCGCTGTTGCGGGGGATCATCCGGAGGCGCTGCTGCGGCGCTCTTCAATCCGTGCAATGTGGCGCTTCCGGCGATCGATTCTTTAGCCGCCCGGCGTTTGGCGGCACCGATTCGCCATTGATTCGTGATCAGCCTGGCAGCTACTCCTTGTTCTTCGCGAGGGGATTCGCGAAGAAGTCGGCAAGTAGGTGTGTTGTGATTTGCTTGTCTGTATCAAACCTTGTGGGATGCTCTCCTTGTCCAGAGGCGAAGAAGGCCGCTCGAGCACAGGAAGAAGAAGAGGACGAGGAAGAGGAGGAAGAGGAGGAGGAGGAAATTGATTTGGACGTGGAGGAACCAAAGAGAGGTGCCAAAGAACACATGGACGCCGCCATGGACGCTCTCGCCACGGAGCTCGGTAAGCTTCGAACTGGGAGAGCCACTCCAGGTAAGTTTTTGTTCTTCTTCTTTCTTTGTGTTTGTGTGTGTGTGTGTGTGTGTGTGTGTGTGTTGCTTTCTAGTCTCTAGCGTTTCCATCTCTGAGATGATACAACTTACTTGCAATCCTTTTTGTTCTAGAGTTTCACTTGTCACTCCTTTAATTCCACTTACGTGCACGCTTTAGTTATTTTTTTTCTTCCCTCGGAGTTTTAGCCTTGTCTAACTCGAATTTTCCACAGGAATGCTGGATCATGTGGAGGTGGAAATCGATGAGAAACCTGTCGCGTTGAGTCACGTTGCTGCTGTTTCCGTCGTCAACTCCCAGACGTTGTCTGTCATGCCATTCGACACTTCTGTAAGTTTTGTGGTCCTGCGACTTTACGTGTCAAGTCCTCTGAGTGCTGCCTGGCTTTAGACCGTGAAAAAGGTGGAGGCTGCCATTCGCTTGTCACCTTTGGGGCTGAATCCGATTGCAGCCGAGCAAATCATTTCGGTTCCAATTCCAAAGTAAGCCGTCGGTCTCCTGAGCTTCGCTTGCACAAATTAACGCAAATTTGTTTTACTTCCTTCTTTTCGGGGGTGATCCAGGCTCACAAAGGAACTGTCAGATGTAAGTTTCTCTATTTACGTTTTTTTATTTGTTTGGTCTCACGTAAGAGTATCTTTGCTTCTTTGTCTAGAGTATGTGCAAGTTGGCTTCCAAGGCAGGGGAGGATACTAAGAAAAGCATCAGGAGAGGAAGGCAGACGGTATGTCATTGTCACGCCGTTTTGTTTGTCTCTAACCCGCTCCCTCTCTAGGCGATGGATCAATTGAAGAAGATGTCATCAAGCTTGTCCAAAGACGAATTGAAACGTCATGAAAAGGAGGTTGATTTGTTTCTTCGCTTTTGTCCCTTTCCTCACATTTGCCGGCCAGGTCGACGAGCTGACGAAGCAGTTTGTGAAAGCCGTAGACGATGTGTGCAAGAAGAAAGAAGCGGAAATCTCCAAAGGAGTGTAGTGGATGTTCCATCTTTTCTGTGTACAATGACTTGCTCTTCCAAAGGTAGAATTTTTCCAGTGCTTTTCGTGTTTCACTTATGGTTTTCATTTTCCATTGCACGCGGGTCTAATCATCGAGCGCCTTTGGTGGTGATGCATGCAAGCCAAATTTATGATACACTGAAACCCAAAACTATCGGGGCTTTCAATCCTGTCATTTGCAGATTCCATCCTCCACCTAATGCACCATTACGAGAGAAAAGAGTTCTTGCTCAGTGCGTTGCCACCTCCCAGCTCTTCCAAAACTTTTATCTCCTCATCTCTGCGATCAGTCGAGCCGTCCAGTGTCTCCCTCCGGGTTTTCCATCTTTCCATCCATCTCAAAAACCATCACCTTCACCACCCGTCGTGTCATATTTCCTGGGGATCCTTCTTTCACTTCATGCCTTCTGCATTCCTCCTACCTTGTCCTGGGAAGAGACCAGGGATTCCTCCTCAAACGGTACTTTCGATATGCACGCATAGGTTCTAGAGCTCATTCATTTTTCGCTCGCTACATATTCTACTCCGACGCTCTCTCACTCGCTGCATGCCATTTGTAAAATCATCTCGATTTCTGCACTCGTTTTTAATTTCCTGCTGCTGCCGCCTTGCATGAGAGTTAGCATATAAGCGATTTGATCGTTGGCGTCGTCGTCGCCGGTGCTTAAAAATCCTCTGCCTGATTCTTCCGTTGTAGCTAGCTTCGTCCTGTTTTCTTTAGCTTCTACAGGTCTCTCGGGTGCTCCTTTCGGAAAAGATGACGCTAGTCTACACCATTCGGACCGTAGTTGGCATCATGGGTGAGTGATCTCGCATTTTCGCTTGTGTCCGTCTTATGCTCTGCCGCCGGTCCAGGGAATGTGATTGCTTTCGGCTTGTTCATGTCCCCCTTGTGAGTAGCAGAGTTTCTTCCTTTCGGTTTCCTTGCTCTTTTGCTCATTCTTATAACGTTTGTTTGTCAGGCCAACATTCTACAAGGTCATTCGACTGAAAGACACTGAGCAGTTCTCAGGGGTCCCCTACGTCGCTACGCTGCTTAATTGTCTCCTCTGGACCCTGTACGGCCTTCCATTCGTTACTCCAAACAGCCTTCTCGTCGTCACCATCAATGGCATCGGCACTGCTCTCGAGAGCACCTACCTGTGCGTCTACTTGTTTTACGCTCCAAATAAGCCGAGAGTGAGCTACGCTAATCCTTTTGCTCAAGCTCTCTCAGCTTTTCCTCAATTTGTTTTTCTTTTCCTTCTGGTTTCGTGACGCTTCGGTTGCTGTTTGACAGGCCAAGGTTCTCAAGATGCTCGCCGTGGTCCTCACATTCTTCGCAGCAGTGGCTTTGATGGTAATGACAATCACACACGTCCACAAGACGCGGCAGCTCATCGTCGGCGTTTTGTGTGTGATCGTTGGTACCGCAATGTACGCATCCCCGATGTCCGTCATGGTACGTGTTGATAAGCACCACCTTCGGTTTCAAAAGCGGTTCTCACTTATCCCCTCCCTTCTCTCGCAGAAACTCGTGATCCAGACCAAGAGCGTGAAATATATGCCTTTCCTGCTGTCCCTGACAGCCTTCCTCAACGGCTTGACCTGGACAGCGTACGCATTCCTGGGAAAGATCGACCCTTTCATTGTTGTGAGTGGATGGACGAACTCTCACATCCCATCTCTCTCGATTTTCGTTTTGATAGCTCTAAACGCCTGATGCATGACGCGACACAGGTGCCAAACGCGATTGGGACTTGCCTCGCAACAACGCAGCTCATCCTGTACGCGATCTACTCGAAGAAAGAAAAGGCTGCCATCAAGAACAAGGAGAATGGGAATGGCGCCGACGCCAAGCCGGCAAACAACCACATCGGTTTCGCGGTGAGGTGCCCCGAGGCTGTGTCAGCGGACGTGAATGTTAACGACGAGGAGCGGGTCTCCAGACAAGTTTAGCACAGCACCTATATGTTTTGCGAGTGGGGAGTTCCGGGATAGAACGCCGTAATATCCATAGATCATTGGGAAGCTTCGAATGAACACCTTGACACTTCCACTAGTGTTTTTAGAGTTTTGGAAACATCCAACTAGATCTATCTCTGGAGAGCTTGTTCTCCTACGATGTCGAATTTTAATGGGACTCATCGTTTAATTGTAAAGAAGAGAAAGGAAGGAAGACATACGTCAGTTGTTTACTCGTATAGCTGCTTGAGCTCATCGGCGAACGTTTTCCGGATGTTCTCCCGCTTGAGCTTCAACGCGGCCGTGACGAGGCCGGTCTCGGGCGTCCACGCCTCTGGCAGCAGCTTCACTTTCGCTGGAATCTCAACCCTCTCCAACTTCGCTTCCTTGCCCACCTGACAAACAAGCCACGCTCAACACTTGCTCGGACATAGAAAACTTAAAAGCTCGTCTTTTACCTGCGCCATGGATTGGAGTATCTGCTTCTCCGCCTCTTTCTTCTTGCACAGCTCCCCGAAGTTCCCATACTGCACGTTCGACTGCTTCGCCCACTTCTCCAGATAACTCTGCGATGGTACAACCAGCGCAACGCAGTAGCTGTGGAAAGGATCAGCATGCACCATGATGCTGTCCACCATCGGGCTAACCGATAATGCTGCCTCGACCTGTCAAAAGTTTATAAAAAAAAAAAATTCACTTGTCTTGTTCAAGTGTAGATAGCATCATACCTTGCCCAGCGATACGTATTCGCCATGTTGAAGCTTAACAATGTCCTTCTTCCGGTCTACAATTTCCAGGCAACCATCGGGATGGAACTGTCCAATGTCACCAGTGTAGAACCATCTCATGCCCCTCTCGTCAACCTTCACAAAAAAACCCAATTAAGCATGAACGCTTCAAGGAAACTGAAAAGTTGTACCTTGTAATCTTCATCCGTCTTCCCCTGGTTCTTGAAGTATCCCAATGTAACACTGGGGCCGCCAATGACAATTTCTCCTCTAGGCATGGGTTTATCAGTCACCAAGTATCCTCCAGACGACCAGTTCACGAGCTGTAAAATGCGCACCCGAGAGTGAGACAAAGTTCAGAGAGAGATTTCGATACAACCTTGATATAGCAATGTGGGACTGGTGGGCCGACACGGCCAACGCTAATATCATCCCATTCAGAAAATGTTGCACCGGCACAGGTCTCCGTAAGACCATAACCCTGTCCAATTGGTATCCTGGGCAAAACAAATCAACGTCAACCTTAAGGTGGAAATCTAGCCAGCTTACCCGAAACAAATATTTATAAACCGTTGAGTATCGGCAGAGAGAGGGGCACCACCTGATAACAATCCGCGAACTCTTCCACCAAGTACACCGCGAATCTTCTTGAACACCAGAGCATCCCAGAAAAGCTTTTCCAATCCCCACGCACCAAACCAGCTGCCTTCAATAGCTGCCAGGCGTCGTCGATAGGCAAGGTCGAAAAGCTTTTTGGCAGCACCGCCCTTTGCATCAACCTGGCAAAGCGAAAGTCATGTTAGAGATAGAATCCAATGAAAAATAGTCAGCGAACCGTTTTTCTGACTCCATCTCGGATACGATCAAGAATTGCAGGGACTGCAGTCATCAGCGTCGGCCTTAACACGCTTACATCACCCTTTGTTCCCTTCTTTATCTTGTTAGATATATCGGTTAACGTCAGCGGTGAGCCATAACCAATGGAAGCTCCAACCGCCAGCATGGTCACCTGTAGCGAACTTCAGTAACACTTCCAGTTAGAAACGGTAGATTTTACTTCCGCAGCGAGTTCCAAAATGTGGGCAAGTGGGAGATAAGCAATGTAGACATCATTGTGATTGAGTTCCGGTACAGCAGTCATAACACCAGCAACAGTTGACACGATATTTGCATGCGAAATCATCACACCCTGGAAAACCAAACATAAATGATAAAAACAAGAGCATCATGATGCAGCACACTGACCTTGGGCATACCCGTACTGCCGCTCGTATACATGATAACAGCAAGATCCTCAGGTGCCGGCAAACGAGGCTCGCTTGGCGTGTCACGTCCCAATTTCTCCAGCTGTGAAAAAGATGACACATTCCAGTTCGTGTTCCCGGGAAGATTTGTGTCCAAGCGCTGGTTTTCCTCATCCATGCACACGACACGCTTTACAGTCTTCAAGTGGCTGCTCATCCCAATTATTTTTTGCAGCTGCTTGACGTCGCAGATCACAGTCGTCGCCTCTGTCTGTTAACGGCAGTGAGGGAAAATCTAAAAAAGAAGGGAAAAATGTGCGCCATACCTCATTGAGCGAGTGAGCAAGGGCCTCCTCACCCAGTGATGCGTATATTGTGACAACAGTAAAATTTTGCCGGAAGCAGGCCTGAGGTAACACTTTAGCTCTATGAAAATAAAGAACCAAAATTCGTTCACCTGCAGCGCAATGAGCCACTCGGGTCGAGTTTCCGCAAAGATTGCAATCTTTTCTTCTTTGTCATGTCCAAGCGCCACCAGCCCTGATGCAATGTTCTGTGCTCGTTGAAAAGCTTGATCGAAAGTGATCCAGACATAATCCCCAAAAGTCACTTTCTCGAATTTCTTGCCGTCTTTGCTAACTTCAGTCTCGGACTTGATCAAAGTTCTGGATCCCAGCAGCGGCCTCTTTGGGTACTTAGAGCAAGCCTGCTCAAAGAGTGCTGCAAGTGTGTTTGCTCCTTCCCACGGCGTCTCGATCAAACTCAAAAACCTGTGATTCCGGCGAGTGTGGCCAGCTTCACCCCCGACTTTCACTTCCACACTGCGCAACTTCGGCTTTTTGTTGTACGAAAAGATCGTCGCAACGAGAGGAATCAGCACCGCAACAACGATGGCGATGATCACCGGGGAACGGAAAAGATCTCCAGGCATTACATGCTCCTCAAAGTTCTTAAGCTCCTCTTCCATTTTTTAAGATTCTGGAAAAAAAAATTAAAGTAAACAATGAGATGATGTGTAGAGCAAGAAGTGAGTGACACCTGACACATTGAATGCTGGGGTCAAGCCAGTGCGCCAACGCATCACACAAGGCTTTTAAACACCGCATTGCAAGCATCAATCGAGAAACGCCGCAAGGATCACGAACCGCAGCAAGAAACAAAGACCATGCCACATATATCACAGCAAGGATAAAAGATCTAAAGTGATATCTATGAGCAGAGCAATCTATTGCCTGGATGCCAAATGGAAGATACCTCGGAGGAGCGACGGATTCCGGGCGCGGCACCACGAGATCCCGAAATATGAGCTGCTAGGTCCGCTACAAGCCAGCGCCTCGCTCCACTCGCCCGGCGCCGATCATCCACAACGCATCAAAGCCCTGGCGATGAAATGCCGTCTTCTAGGGCAAGCAAAAAGGAGTAGCATCTAGAAAAACACCCGCCACACGATGTTGGAGAGAAGAAACCAATGGCCGCCCTCCGCCAAAAAAGAAAGGTAGCAAAAACGCGAACCTAGGAAAGAGGACACTTGGCACCACTATGGTTTAGAATCAATCAAGTGTATATAACATGGTTTACTTACAAATATAATGTAGCGATTGATATTCACACAAGCAAAGAACTTCTTTAGAGTGACTCACACTTGGCCTGGACAAACGAGAGCTCGGAGCTCCCGCGATCATACAAGATGTGGTAGCCCTGCTGCATCACATTCCCAATTATACTCACTGGGAGGCCACTCGCGGAGCCCATGGCCAGGCACACGGTGTCGCCGCTATCGTCCACCACCAAGAAATAGTTACTCGACGGCGGCGTCATGGTCGCGCCCGCCAGCCGGATGGTCAACGCCGGGAACTTGTAGTTGCGGTTGGAGGACCGGTCGTAGCAGAGGTCCAGCCCCATGGACGACCCGTCAACCCTGGGGAGGGTCACCATTGACTCCATCCGGGAGAGCACCCGGCCGTACACCCCGGATGGCACGTACGTCAGCGTCGTCCCGGAGTCAATGATGGTCGTGCCGGGGCTGCCCATGGTCTGACCGGCGACCGCGATGCCGTTGACCGTGAGCAGGTAGTACGTCGGGTAGGTGTCGCTGGGCGGGGTGATCTTCGTTGACTGGATGCCGGTGCCGTGCAGCGCCGCCGACGGGCCGAACAGGAGAGGGGAGCTCTCCGATTGGCTGTTGATGTCCACGAGGCAGTAGGAGAACTTGCTGTCAATGGCGGCGGAGAGCTGCGAGGTCAACGACACGGGACCTTGGCCGAGCCCGACAAGCCCATCCACGCCGTCGAAGCCCGAGTTGACCATGCCACATCCGACGGCGAAGGACGGGAACTTCTGGCTGCCGTCACTTGTCGTGCCCAGGGAGATGGTGTCGCGCGCGAACTCGCCCTCCGTCTCGCCGCTGCCATACTCGTACGAGTAGCTGCAGGTGCTGGAGCCGGGCTCGCAGGATCCGGGGAGCTCCGCGCAGAGCTGCGAGGAGCAATCCATCTCGCGGAAGGTGGACGACTGGCGGGGATCGAAGATGGTGCCGCCCGAGCAGCCCGTGCACGGCTCGGATTGCACCCACACCAGATCGCTGCCCGTGTCCGCGATGGCGCGGAACCTCTTGCCCGGCGTGCCCACCGAGATGTCCATCACGTAGCCCCCGCCGTCCGGGTGGAGTGGCGATTCCACGTCCGTGGTGCCGGCCATCGACGACCACGAAGACGAATTCGCCCGCGCTGCCATCCATCTCACTCGCGCGTGGCTCTTGGCCACCAGCGCGCGGATCGCCTCGCTCCTCTTGACGCCCTTGCGCCGCATGGCCTCCTTGGCGGGATGGATGAGATTCACCCGGAAGCCTTGAGCGATGAGCGACGAGTCCAGGAGCAGCATTGCCAGCAGCGGCAGCGCGATCGAGCGAAAGCCCATTGTCGAGAAAAGTAGGAAGGAAAAGTATGAGCTCTCGCTGCGTTGCTTTTCTCGCCACCCAACAATCAAAGAGGCCCCGAGCGACTTAAAAAGGAGCCGCCTCCCCGAGCAAGCCGCCCGCTTTCAGGGTGCGTGACCCGAAAGAAGATGACTGCGTAGGTAATCTTTTCTCTTCCCCAACTGCGAGCATCAACGTATCGATCGCCCTGTCCACCTTTCGCTCTCCTTCTCGGGCTATTTCCGCGATCACGCTATCGCGAGGAATCCTCGGTGACGTATTTTCAGTTCCTGGCCAATTATTGAGTCTTAGAACATGACAAAAGTGGAAAACCAACAAGAAAAAGAGAAGAAGTTTTTCTATCTTACCTCCTCTCAGCATCGAGACTCCTCTCCACCCAGTCGCTATTCTGTCCGGAATGCTTGCTTTGAAAGATTCCATGTCGTAGCCACACCAGTGGAATTTGCAAGTCCGATCATCAGCCAGAGGCATAGCGCCGAGCGGTATGTCGGGAAGAGCATCCCAGCCGAAGGAGAGCTCGTCCGGCTTGCTCTGATCCCACGATGGCATCATCTCGAAGAGATCCACTGCTGCGTTGGAGTTTCTGTTGAGAGGGAGCTTGGTGCGAGCATCGAGATGATGTCACGAGCCGGCATGTCGTCGACGCGCGAGAGATGCAAGCCGCGAGTATCGAGTTGCAGCACCGTTGGCTCCAAGTGGCGTCTTTCAGAGAGCCCTTGCGTGTTGGCTGATCGAAGCATCTGGCGAGAGCGAAGCTGGAGAGTACAAGCGACGGCCTTCGTGTTCTTGGCGATGATCGCGTCAAACAACACCAAACGGTTTTTCTGAGATCTCAGGACGTCCAGATATTCCTGGCCATTCTGAAAGATGATAAACCTCAAATTCTGAGAAGGTTCTTGCGGCCGCCCTAGGATCATAGAATCCTTCGATGTGTCGAACCAAGCTGGTTGTAGTCGACCACTACAAAATCCAAGATAAACTAAAAATGTGAATGCTATAGCAAGTGATGAACGTGTGTGTGGTTGGGGCCAAAGTCTTTTGGCATTCTCTAAGATGTGAAGTCCTGCCTCAGAGAGCCTATTCCAAGGATATGATACTGCTTCCAGAGCTGGAGTCAAAGAGAGTGTAGACTATTGGCAAGCCATTACCAAAGTCGACATTGCCAGAGCATAAAACAGATAATTTTTACTATTTTTTACCAAAGTTTGTATCATTGCCAAAGTATTTTAAATGTTTTAACCTGAAAAAATTAATATAGTTCATGTGTTTTTTTTTCCTTATTAAAAGTTAGAAGTATCCATGTAATCATAGCTAATCATTTAGAAAGTGAAATAAAAATTTATTATGCGTCAAACAATGATGATATTGTCTTTACATAATAATGAAAATTTATCTTGGGAGTTCACATCTCATTATTTTCTTCATACTTTATTTTAGTGTGCTATACATAAAGATAATGTTTGGGTAGACTTTGAATGCTTATGATTTTAGATTTGATACACAGTTAAATAAAATAGAAATTGGTGTTTACAGTGAAGGAATATTAAAATATAAGATGCATTAAAATTAGATCATTTTGTATAATAATACCTTTGACTTGATTTGGAATGTTATATTTCACATAATAAAATCTTTTTGATATCTCTCTAATATATAAAGAGATTTGTTGTTTGTGTATCAACTGAGGGTTGGGGGTGGCTACTCAATATCTCCCAAGCATCAAATGGGGTAGTGGCATTCTAAATTATATATGAATTATTCACTGTGGGACTGTAGTATTGGCAATAAAATGATGGTTTATACAATAAGATGATTAATAGGATATATATATATATATATATATATATATATATATATATATATATATATATATATATATATATAGGTTTTAAATAGGGTGTACCAACAAAAACTACTAGAATAGCCATCTCTACATCCATTCCAAAAGTAATTTTCAAATTTTCAAATTTACTACTTAAAAGAAAAATTAACTATTAGTGTCGTTGACTCCAATTCTATCTTTGATGCTTGGGGGATATCCCAACGCTCAGTTCATACACAAACAACAAATCTCTTTACATATCAGAGAGATAAAAATGGATTTTATTATATGAGAAAATATAAAATTCCAAATCAAACCAAAGATACTATTATATAAAATTTATCTAATTTTAATGTCTTATTTTAAATATTCGTTCACTGACTTTCTATTTTACTTAAACATGCATATCATATCTAAAATCATAAGCATCCCAAAGATTTGAAGACTCTTGGATGAACACTCCAGCCCCATGAGTTCTATTGCAATGGAGAAACATTACCTACACCATGTAGCATGTCAAGAATGTCAGGATGCTTCTTTGGCAGGATTAAGCCAATGAGTCCAAGAAAAACAACAATACCTATTTCTGGTCGTGAGGACCTATGAAGGGCATCCTATAGTGTGGAGTTAAGGGCTTGTGGCATGAAGTCACGGAGGCTTATTGTTGACTTGCAAGATCATAGGTGTTGCCATTGCTGGAGGAAGAGTGGGAGGGTGGTTCTTCGTCCCGTTGCAGTTGGTACATGTTATGTCTTCAGCACATTGATAGCAAATATAGTTCTCTCAGGGTAACCAACTCCCTCCCAATTACCAGAAGATGATGTTACCTTATGCTATGTCATCCCATAGATAGGTCAGCAAATAGCACTGGAATTTAACCCTTTGAAGCCACCACTTGAGTGACTCAAGATCCATCCCTAGGTTTGTGCATATTAAATCAAGGACATTATATTGTGTTTTTCATACTTACGAGAGCACATTTGGTAATCCAGCCCCCAAACCTATGTGAGGACAGTGATAACCTTGGTGTGATAGTATTGTCGACGTGCATGCTTGAGATCACTCTGGAGGGCTGCTTGAATGCATATTCTGTTGTCCCTTTACCTATATGGCTTAAAGGGTTCCGCTTAGATCGCAAATAACTTCGAGAAAATAGAATTCACCATCCAGTCTCGAGTGAAATCTTCATCAAGTGCTTGTTAAAAAATCGGGCAGAGCGAGACACAACTTGCCACACGCTTCAGCTGTGAGACCCCAGGCATCTGTTTGTGTAGGCGGTCATTCGCTGCGAAAATCTGCTGAATGCGTGGGCCTGGGAAGTGGCTGGGCCTCCTACGTGTTGGGTGTAGATAGTAATCTCCGTGCTGTTTCAACAGCACAAAGATGGGCTTAACAGGCTTTTTGAAAGCTTTATGAGGTGCTGTTCGAAGCAGCATTGCTAGCAACAGTAGCAAGATTGAGCAAAAGTCCATTGTCGAGAAAAGTATATTTTCTCTTCCCCAACTACACCTTCGCTCTCTCTCTTTCAGCGATCTCGGTGACGTGAATTACAAAAGTGGAAAAATAAAAGAAAGATTTTTTTCTATCTTACCTCCTTCCAGCTTCGAGGATTCTCTCCACCCAGTCGCTACTCTCGTCCGGAATGCTCGCTTTGAAAGGCTCCATGTCGTTTTTCCTCCTGTAGCCACACCGGTGGAACAAGTCCGCCATGCAGCCGTAGTGGAGCTTGACTGGAGCGATGTGGTAGTCGCGGATCATCAGCCACAGGCAGCGCCGAGCGGTGTCTCTGGACGAGCATCCCAGCAGGAGTGAGACGAAGGAGAGCTCGTCCGGCTTGCTTCCATCCAGATCCATCACCCTCCTCAGCTCCATTGCGGTCTTGAAATCTCCCGCGTGACTGTAAGTCGCGAAGATGATGTTCCAGGCCGGGACGTCTCGGCACGGCATCGAGTTGAAGAGCGCGATCGCCTTGTCGACGTTTCCAGCCCGTGCATGGGCTGCGAGGAGCGCAGTCCACGACACCTGATCCCGCGACGGCATTCTCTCGAAGAGATCTGCTGCGCTGTTGAGCGAGCTTGCTGCGAGCATCGAGCTCCAAGAGACGATGTCACGAGCCGGCATCTTGTCGAAGAGTTGCTTCGCGCGCGAGAGATGCCCGTTCTGGGCATAAGCCGCGAGCATCGAGTTCCAGCACCCTTGGCTCTTGGCACCGCTTTCGAATTTATTCTTGGCGTCCTCCAGAGAGCCCTTGCGTGTTGGCTGATCGAAGCATCTGGTGAGAGCGAAGCTGGAGAGCACAAGCAACCAGGAGTTGGTGTTCTTGGCGATGATCGCGTCAAACACCCGCAGGGAACATTTCAGGCAGCCTCGTTTCCCAAACGCGCGAATCAGATAGTTGCCAAAGTCTGTGTCTCTTAGCTTTGGCTCGATCCTTGCAATCCGGCTCCAAACGTTTTCCAGCTGCGGCAAGCTTGTTGAAGATCTGACGAGCTCTTTCCATTCCTCCACGTCCAAAACATACCTGAGAGACAAGTGCTTAAGGCCAGTCAGGACGTCCAGGTCGCCCAAAATATTTGTCATCTTTCCGGGTCATTCTCCTCACACTGGACTTCTACCTGTTCGTCGACTGAAATAGCCTCCGAGAAACGAGCTTTTATAGAAAATTCTTGTGAGTTCAAAATATTCCACATTTAAAAAGATAATGTTTCGGATGCTTATAATAATAGCAAATGTCAAATAGAAATTGGTATTGAATATTAGAGAAGATGCCAATTTAATCTCAAAATAAAATTTATATATGAGAATATAGAAACAAAAAACGGGGAAAGAGGATATATCTTACCACCAAAGAACTTCTCAAGCCTAGAACTCGTCATCTGTGCTGTTTTCTACTTGTTCATTACCATTGTGGTCAGACTCGTCGTCTGAAATAACCTCCGAGACGTCCTGGAGAAGCTGTTTATGATCACAGCAGACGAAAAATATAAAATCCTAGCTACCTTTGAAGGTGAGTGGCGAGCCTGGTTAAAGTTGAAAGAGGTCTCTTGTGGATTGGCAACAGTGTTCCCCGTCTCAGCTATTAGTGCAAAAGAGAGCTTTGAGTCGCTCCAAGAGAGCTTGCTTAGTTCCACATTATCCTTGTTATTTCCACTCACTTCCTCTCCTCGAAGGATTTGTAAGTTCTGTAGCAAGCCGAAGTAAGAATAAGACAATCGAAACCTTGACACTTATCACCTCGTCTTGCAATTGTTGTTGGAGACGCTTCATCATAGCAAACGATTCTTGTAGTTTTTCCTGCTCTTCTTGATTGTGTGTTTCTAGTTGACTCTCTAGCCATCGTAGATTGTGGAATTTCTCGAGATAAACACCAAAAAGGCGCTGGAGCTCACTTTGGAGCACTTCGTACTCGTCAAGATATGCTGGCCTGTTCATAAAACGCAAACACAATGAGAGCTCTCCAAAAGGTTTCAATGTTATCGATACCTGACGTTTTCAAGCACTGATAGGCGCTTTTTGCACCGCTCAAGCTCCACTTTTCGTTTCTCATGTGTTATACTCAGTGATTTTTCATCCTTTTCGCAGCTATGCTGTTGCTGCTCAACCGAAGAAACTGTTTGCAGCAAACTGTCAGTGCCTTCTCTAACCAAATTCTCAATCTGCTCAATGTCAGTGTTTGTCGAAGCAGCCATGTTTCGCTCTCCCTATCGCAGCATCAATCCCAAAAGTTACAAAAGCAAAACCACAAGTTTATATCTACCTGAAGCTGCATTTCGGTCGCCAAATCGTCGTATAGCGTTGCTCCAGCCTTGATGATCTCTAGAACAAGTGATCGAGCTGCTTTCACATCAAATGCCCGTTTGAAGAGTGTTGTCTCTGGCAACTGCATAACCCAATGGAGAAAACATCACGAGGAAAAGAAAAACAAAATTCTCACACACCTTTTCAGAAGAAGCTGATGCAATGGCTTGTTCAAGCAATGTGGAAACTTGAAGGAGCTCGGCCGTAGCATTGCTATCAGCCATATATAAACTTCGCAAATTCAGCTTCATCCTGGTCTTGAGAAACTAAGATCCATCAAAACAAAAAACTTAGAAAAGAACTTGGAAAGGAAAGAGAGAGAAATAATCGGATTTTACTCCTTTAATCGATCGAGCAGTGACGATGAATCACCATGAACCGGCCAGCAGACTTGAGAAATGCGATTCGACCCTCTTCCGTCGAAACGTCGCCGTGGAGCTGGACTTCAGGATCATACCTACAAATTCTATCTTCCAAGAATCCAAAGATTGCCAGATTATTACCTCGGAAGAAGCCAGCGCATACAGCTCGCCACTGTATCGAAATGTGGAGTCCGGAAGCTCTCCATTGACAGGCCATCGCCCGGATATCCCAGCGATTTCATGGATTCGATGAATTCTGGAGCTCGAAAGAGAGATTTAGAAGATTTCTCTCGAGAAAGAAGAAGATCGTACTTCGTATCAGGGCGTGAGAACAAGAAGGCACTGTCGCCATCGCCATCGCCATCGCTAGCCCTAAAACTTTGCCGCGCTCCACATCCAACGGCCCAAGATCCAACGGTGGGGATCCGCTCGCGGCGTCGATCGATCGCGTCACGTAATAATTTATTCTTTCTCTGTGATCTGCTATGGATCTCGCCGATCTTGATTGCGGAGAGCGCTTCCCACAGGAAGTGTAATCGCTTTCGGCCATAAGATCCTCACTTTCTTGATAGGCCGTAGAACACCCAGAGCAAGCAGTTGAAAAGCGTCGCGACATAAGGGCTCGAGAAGTCACCCGTAGTGTGGTTCTTGACGATCTTATGGAAGGTTGGCCTGTCAAGCCCGTCAAAAGCGTCTAGTAGAAATTTCAATATATGGACATTTTGGATATTTTTTGTCATTTTTTTTCATAATCAACTTGCTTTCCAAGTCAAACTTTGTAACAAAGCCAAAGTGATGTTTTAAGTGAAGGATTCTCCAAGCAACCAGATCGTCCAAGAAACTCCATGGGATGGAAAGTAGTGCTGTTGAAAATCTTTTGCCTTTATGGGTGCTCATGCATGCGCTTTGACGAGGCATCTATACCAGGTAGGCTCAACCTCCAGCAAGCCGTCACCATGGAGATCCGCATTCGCTCCTTCATCAGAATTAATATTCAACCAGATATATTTTATAATTCGCAGTCATGGGGAGAAACTCTCCAAATTGATACTGACAATTTTTGCATTGTAAGGCTAACACTCTTCACCATGGAATCAGATGGAAGTTGTAGCCTTGGACCCTCCCCAATGAGACTCCGGGGATCTTCTCTCATACAAATAAGTGATTATCTGGTTGATCGAATTGGAGAAGCAGCTCGCATATATGGCTATGGTCGCATTATGGCCGTCTCAGGACTTCTAAGCATTGATTATCGGATTTACTCCACATCCCTGCCACAAGCGACACATATTAGTCAACCTTTAGAGATTGTCCTCAATATTAATCCTTCCAACTCAACTCTTAACTCTACTCGAGAGTTGTATGGCCAAAATGAGTGCTATGCTTTTCGCTCTGGAATGGTGAGTGGAGAGCGAGGAGCGCTTGGATCTGACCTCTACAGCGGCTCTCGTCTTGTGTCTCCCAACGGCTTCTACGAGCTCGTTTTGAAAAACGACTGTAACTTGGTGCTATTAGCGATGGGATGGAAAGAGCTTTGGTCGAGTTCCACAGCTGGAAAAGGTGTTAGATGTGTACTCACTCTCCAGAGGGATGGGAACTTGGTGCTCTTAGGAGGAGATGGAAGAGGTATCTTTGCATCAAACATTTATTGTCAGCCACAGCCTCACTGCATCTTTGGAACCAATTTGGTGCTTGAAAATAGTGGATCCGTTTCAATCTATCGTGCCTCCGGGCCTATGCTTCTCTTATGGCGACGGCCATGAAAGCGGCCAAGCAATGAATAAAAGCTTCTTGATCCAGCTCATACCGCAGCAAGAGAAGAGTTCCAAGCTTCAGAGATTGTCCACAGGTAACCGTAGCAAGGCTCGCAACACGGGTGATCCAGAGTGCTCTGAGTTCATAGCGACCACTGGGTTATGAAGATATATAAATTTCTGGTTTAAAAGAAGTTTGAGAATATTCTGAGAATATTACTTTTTGGTGTTTATAATGTTTAAAATCCTCAAATTCAAAAAAATTGGATTCCCTCCCTAAGTCCTACAATTCTTTCTAATTGTTCAAGTAATCATGCGGTCCATTGAATGTCTTGTTCCTGGTTGCTCTCAACGTGTGTGGGATCCTCAAGCAATGGGACCAGGATTCAGGATAGGATTCATCACCAGATCCAAGATAAGCTACTGGAATCTGACTTTGAGATTGGGAATGCCCTTATGAGCATGTAAAGTGTGGAATTTTGGATCTTGTAAAAGAGCTTTTTGACTGATTGGAGGAAGAATGTTATCAACTGGACAATTTTGGTCTAGGTGTTTTTGGAGAATGGCATTTTCGGTGGGTGGATAAAGCCAAAGAGATCTTCAAAAAGATGGTGGACCATTTGTCACATGTGATAGAATGTTAGAGTGCAATACTAGTGCTCTAAAAAGGCTCTTATGTTTCTTTAACCTATCCAGGGTGGATTGCATTATATTTGGGTTCTTGATTTACTTAAGTCTTCATTAAAAAAGGTTTTAAAGAAAATTTTGAATACAATACACAGCAATATAATTTATATTACCTACATCTTTCTGGATAATTTGAAATCATGCATAATTGCACAAAGCATAAAACCATATCTAAATTATTGAATTTATAAAATTAACAAAATAACTCATAATTTTGCATTAAGTATAAAGAACTAATATTACAAATTATTTAAATAATTGAAATCATTCATAGAATTATAATTTCCAAGGAAATCAATTCCATTTTTCTTTTATTGAATCATAAGCTATACATACTATTATTATTTTATAAAATTGCATAAAAAATATATTAGATTTATATAAATTATTTAAAATAAATACAAAAATAAAACTATTAAGTTTATTTTTCAACTTTAAAATGATATAAAAACTGCAATTATTGGTTTTAAACTAGTTTTATCTAAATAAAACAAGCGTAAAAATCCATACAACATCATTTCATATGACTATTAACCTACTCTTTCAATTAGATAAGACAAATTTGCATGATTCTATAAATGATATTACGTAATTTGCATGATTGTATGCATAATTTTGTAAATCACATAATTCTATTCTAACTAGAAATGTTTATTTAATGAAGGTTTTTGTTCATTGTCGGTCATCAAAAGAGATCAAGGTTTTATATATAAATATCAAAGAAATGTTAGAAAAAAGTGTTATTCAAAAGTTACAGAGTTTTTAAGCATATGAACTTTATCTTGCGACGAAGTGTAATAAGAGTATTTGTTTTTGTACCAATTATTATTTGTTAAATGAAGTGATAATCTCAAATGTATACCCTTTTCCTCACATTGTTAATCTTCTAGATTGTCTACAAAAACAGTATTGGTTCACTAAGTTAAATTTTGCTTTTAGGTATTAACAAGAGTTAATAGCTAAAAAAGATTTTCCCCAGATTGCTTTTCGTACACTATTTAGTTTATACAAGTTCTTGGTGATGCCATTTGGTTTAAACAATGTTTCAGCAACTTTCTAATGAATGATAAACAAGGTTCTTTGCAATATGTTGGAAATGACTATTAATTTCATTGATGATGTTTTAATCCACTTGGAGAGGATATAAGAGAAATACATTTGTGATATTTGTAAGATATTGGATCAGCTACGAGAAATTAGTTTAAAGTTGAAGAGATCAAAGTGCATGTTTGAGTCTAAAAACACCATTTATCTTAGTATTGTATTTCTCATGTGATTCTGAAAAATTTATGAATATTCTTAATTTCCCTACTCCAAAATGTGTGAATGATGTGTAGTGCTACTTAGGCAAGGTGCAATATCTCAATCGTTTCATTAACTATCTTTCTAATTATATTGCACCATTGCGAGCATTATTGAAATTATTAACATTGTATTTCCTTTAGTTGTGAGACACAAAATCCCTAGGCCCCAAAGTGGAGCCGGAAGGGCGCCACATGGTAGTGGCCGAAGCGAGAGCCAAACGAGTGTAACACGTGTGGACCAAAAGCTCCGACTTGAAAAGTCAAGAGCGGGAGTGGAACTCCCAACGAAGTGCTCGAGGAACGAGCACGAAGGGAGCAAAAGGCGAGGCTCCAAAAAGAGACCCAAAAGGACCAACACATGACACGTGGGAGTGTCTGAGATGGACTCGAGTTGGAGTCCGAAGAGGAGTCCGAGATGGACCCGAGTTAGAGTCCGAAGTGGAGTCCAAGATGGACCCGAGTTGGAGTCCGAAGAGGAGTCCGAGATGGACCCGAGTTGGAGTCCGAGATGGAGTCCGAGATGGACCCGAGATGGAGTCCGAGATGGAGTCCGAAGTGGAGTCCGAGGTGGACCCGAGATGGACCCGAGTTGGAGTCTGAAGTGGAGTCCGAGATGGACCCAAGATGGAGTCCGAGATGGAGTCCGAGATGGAGTCCGAGGTGGACCCGAGATGGACCCGAAATGGAGTCCGAGATGGAGTCTGAGATGGACCCGAGATGGAGTCCGAGATGGAGTCCGAGATGGACCCGAGATGGAGTCCGAGATGGAGTCCGAGATGGAGTCCGAAGTCGAGACCGAGACCGAGACCGGGACCGAGACCGAGACCGAGACCGAGACCGAGATCGGGACCGAGACCGAGACCGAGGCCGAGGCCGAGACCGAGGCCGAGACCGAGCCCGAGCCCGAGTCCGAGTCCGAATCCGAGTCCGAGTCCGAGTCCGAGTCCGAGTCCGAGTCCGGAGCCTGAGAGGGTGAAAGCCCAAAGCGTTCGTCTCCCAGACCCTGGGGGGTTTGGTGAGCTCCAAAAGTATAGTAGGGGGAGGACTGCAGTGGAGC